TTAATAGTTCTTTATTGAGTGATACAGTGTTTGTGCAGCAGTTGAGAGAAGGGTTAGAGGTATTTTTAGCAATTAAAGTGTCTCTAGAGACATCCCCACACAGAACCTGGGAGGTTTAAAAGTGTTTTATCAAGAGTAATATGATTTTGTGTGCAACTAAACTGAAGGCAGTAGATTGCAACAAATTAACTAGCTTGAGGAAAAAAGTGATTAGTTGAATCAAATGTTTTACAGTCCTGAAATGGAAATCCTGCATTCTTAGAAGGCTAGACATAAAGTTCTGAATAAAGAAAGTTTTTTCTACATAAAAATGTAAACTTTATAATGAGCATGATGTGCATCCAAGCAAACTTCTAACTTTGCATTTAAAACAAGCAGAACAATTCACTTCCATGTATATGAGTAAGGGCTCAATGAAATAGAAGGTTCCATACCCAAAACAACTGAATGATGTAGTACAGCAGTATTACTCACTGTTGTATGCAAAGTTAGATGTCAAAATTATAATTTCTTGAGCAGCTTAGAATTATAATATTTATCCTCTCAACAAGCTAGTGAACTAGATGCACCTCTTACACTTCAGGAGCTGGAAGGCTCAATCAATGAATAAGACTGGCTGCCAACAGAACTTTTAATTGAGACATAGACACAAAATGGCCCTGTTATATTACAATATATCAATCACTCAATGGAGACAAAGAACTAGACTTGCATTGATCATTCTTCGTTTGAGAAAATGTAAGAACTGTATGAAGTGCTGTAGTTTCCGTCCAATATCCCTTTTAAATTCTGACGTAAAGATTTATGTGGAATATTTGGCTCTGTATCTTGTTTCCTGTATTTCTTCTCTAATTCCCCATGATCAGACAGTTTTCATCAAAGAAGGACTTGCATCTAACAATCAGCCTTGCCTGCTTCACATCATAGAAATACTGCAGCTTATCGATTATCTCCTAGTGCAGGTGTGAAGAGAATGCTTTTTATAGATTGGAGTGGGAGTATTTATACTTTTAGTACTCACTTTCTCATGATTTTCATGATGTACGAGTCACCCGCTGCTTCTGTCTTAACAGTCCCAGTCTGTTAGGATAAGCACTTACATGTACCTATTGAAATTCAGGACCCTGAACATTATATCTCTATTCTCTAAAATGATATTCTGTTTTATTTTGCCAATGTTCTTAGTCCTCCTTCTAATGTAGTAAAACTCTTTCGGTTTTTTAGTTCTTTTTCAGAAATTAGCTGGGCCTTTCTGCCATGAATTTCTGTGCCTTTGAAATAACTAGTTATACACACATCTTTTTCTAGTAGTAGTTTACCACTACTGTAATCTTCGGATACATTAAATAAGATTTATAACACATTGCTGAAGATTAGAAAGGGAATCTTTGACAGCATGGTGCCCAAAGTGGTAGCCACTTTTGAATAGATGGAGACCATTTTCAATCACTCTGCACAGTAGAATATCAGTGATTAAACTTAATGTTTTACCAAGGTGTTAATTACCTGCTTGCTACTGTTGTCACATCCTCCTAAATGCATCACAATTCATCTTAACTCACCTTAATTCATTGTTGTAAATTTGTTTGGAGTTCCACGTACCCCAGAATAAAATTAACTACTCATCAGCACCCCAAAGAGCCTGGAGGACTTGTCTTGCCAAGTGTTTAGCTTTATTACTGGGTTTTTCAGTTCAGGGCTATTAAGAGGTGGTTGAATCCAGATTTTCATCAGCTAGAGACCCAGTCTAATGTACTGGAGGTAATAGTTGATTACCAAGATCTAACACTTTTCTATCTAAAGCAAAAAAAGTGTAAAGACTACAAGGCCAATACTCCTTCTGGGTTTTTCTATTTTTCATTCTGTAGGTTTTGTTCCTTTCTTCAAGCTTCTGATGACTCTTGGGATTCATTTTAGCTTGCTCACACACTATTGGATGTATTTAATGCATTAGAAATGGGTTTCCTTTAGCACTATATGATATATTATTTTTCTCACAATATGAAGTCCCTCCCTGTTATCAGTGTGGAATGGAGAGTCTATTAAATGGGATTTTCTACCAGACTGAGAAGTAATAAAGGGTAATATTTTTGCATTGTCACAAACTTAGTGCACATTATTTGCAGGTTATCTTCTACTCCACAGATACTACATGTGAGCTTTGTATGTCCAGGTTAATAAGCACTTATTTACAGTACACACATTTAGAGTGTGCCCCAAATTTAATGTTTTTTGTAGATATGTAGGGTCAGTGTTAGGCTATACAACTGGTGCTATTCTCTCCCAGTCTTCAGAAGTACTGTTTCTCTCTGATGTATCTCAGTTAACACTATTAATGCTCAACAACTGAATTTTCTTAGCAGGGATGGCTGAAGCTAAGAAAACTATTTTGAGGACATGATTAGAGCCTGCTGTTTTTATTGTATTTGGTTATGATATTTAGGTTTTATGACAGTAGCTTGGGATCCAGCTATTGATTACGTTCCTCAGATAACATGTTGTTTCATGTTCCTGTAATTGTTTCAGTGTTTCTTCCTTTATGAGTTTGGGGTTTAAAGAAAGAATAAAGTCATTCATGTAGGTAGGATTGTCCTCTTTCACAGTGTTGAGTTTAAGCATAAAGTACTTATTTACAGTTCAGCTTCTCTACTTCTTTTATTAGCAGGAATCTTCACACTCAGGGTTATTTCTCAATGTTTACTTGTCCATTCAGTTTTGCTGTCTGTGCATTGCTCACTCTGAATTTGATATAACTAAGCCTTAGGCCAAAAACAGTTTTCCGGTCTGAGTCTCCTCATCACCAGCCAAACCACATTTTAAGATACAATTTTCATCTGATGTAGTGAAGCAGTGTAATGTGGGCTACACCCAACCTCAGTCCTGCTTTGCTGTGAGATTAGCTTTGCCAGGGACTTGATTTGAGGATCAAGTTAGTAACCAGAACCAAAAACTAGCTACTAGTTTTTTAGGTTGGGAGGGGAGCCTTGGACCCTGGAGTACCTGCAAACAACAAAACAGTATTTTAATGATTTGCTTTGCAGAGAGCTTGTTTTTATGTGATTATAGTGAAGACTAAGAATGTAATATCACTGTTTCATCAGAGCTTTGGTTAGATAGATACTTTATTGATCCCGTGAGGGAAATTGCAGTGCAACAGCAGCTTAACACACACAACACAGCCACAGTGTAACGAATTATATAATAATAGTACAATACATACAATACAATACAAGA